GCTAACTTTGAGACACACTTTGTGTATAAAATTTTTACAGTCGTGCTTGTGGTTTGGTGAATCAGGCTTGTTTTTTGAATTGTCTATAATTGGTCTGTTTAATAAGGAGGCCTCACTGAGCACAGAAGTCAGCTCTATTTCTGATTAAAGCAGTGTTTTCATGCTTTCGGGAAGAACATTCTTAGCTTCTGGAATTCTGAAGCATGCCAGATGCCCAGGAGAAGAAGCTATGTGATGGAGACATGAGGCCATTCAGACTTTTCAAAGCACTTGTTCTAACCGTTAGCCAATTTTACTCTTCAGGGTCAGCGTATCAGCTAAGCAGGACAGCTGTAACCTCTCGCTGTTCCCAGATTCTCAAAGGACACTGGGACACAGAATAAAAGACTTGTTTGAGATCACACAGCTAATGATTCGCAGACCATGATGGGATGACCAAATCCCTGGTGTCCTGTAGTTGAGCCAGAAACGGCACTATGGGGAAAGAACATGGAAGGACGGTTGTACAGGAAACATTTCTTTGCCAGGGTGGAAGGACTTTTGTCATTAGCGTCTGCTTGACCCTGAGCAGGTGTGCCTGCCCTGAGAGCCTCAGGATCTTCAGTCCAGTGGGTATCTTGCTCCATCTCCCAGCGATTCCCTGGATTCTGTGGGTTTGCACTTTTCTGTATGAAATTCTATAATTTTTTTTTTGAAAGACGTTTTTGGCAGGGAAGAAAGAGTGTAGTTGAGACTAAGAAGCAGCAGTAGTGCTAACTGGGGTGAGAAGTGAATCCATTGGTTTCTCTTTGATGAGAAGAAAGTGCTGGCACTGGGGGTTAGCTGTAGCCACTCCCATGGGGGCCCCTGGCAGATGCACGCCGCACACCAAGAGGTTCATTGAGATTTCAGACTGTATCCCAATGTCACCGCTGCTCCCCATCAAGGCCACCTGCTGGGTGCAGGCAGGCACCATCATGTGACTGGTACCAAGCGCAGACCATGAAGGGTTAACCCTCCATGGGTTGTTGCTCAGCCAGGCACCACAGGTCCCCTGCCAAAGCCTGACCTGCAGGCTATTGCATTCAAGAGAGAAGAGGAGAGTCAGAGCTTGGCAGGAGCTAGCTAAAATCAACATTAGCTTGCTGTGTAAACCGTGGCTGCGGCCCCTGGTGCCCTGTTGACCCTTGGCTTACTGACAGAGTGGCTGGCCTCTGCCCCTCTGCTGCAAAGCCAGGTGGTGGGCCTGGAGTCGCAGACACATCAGCACTCACCAGCAAAGCCTGTGCCCTGCTCTTTGCACACAGCCTGCCTGCCCAGAGCCACGATGGTCACAGGCTGTGCAGGGCCACACTTCACAAGTAGAAGTGGTGGTTGGCAGGGCTCTGCCTCTGAGCAGGTTGGCTGCTCTGCATTAAGTGAGAGAGCCTACAGAGTTACAGTGAGACCTTCCCCAAGGTGAAAACCAACAGAAGAACAAGTGTGGGGCAGGATAAAAACAAGGTGGGGGGTGCCTTCTGGGTAACAGTAATGTCCTGGAAGAAGGAAGCCAGGGCCTTGACCTTCTCCTTGAACTTTCACTCTCCAATGCCAAGTCATCTGGTCTCACCTTTTGACCTCACATGGGCCCTGTTTGGGCCACCAGAACTATGTTGTTGCCCAAGACTGGAATGGCCAAAGACCAGAAGGCCAGGACACTTCTCCTGACCTCCAGAGCAGGTGCCTGCTGGCTAGGGACCCTGCTGCTGCTCCAAACCTACGTGGATGCAGTTTGGGAAGCAAGAATGCATCCCAGACCATCCTTCTGCTCACCTACAGGTGTTCTCCTCTGCTCACAGGGAGAAATGAGATGGGATTTCTCACATAAAAGGAAAACCAGGGTTGACTGTTTTTCTTTTTCTCTGATGCTCTGACCAGCAGCTCAAGTTGCATCAGCTCTGCTGAAACTTCATGTGGCCTTTTAGCTTCAAGGACTTTGAAACTGGCTTGTTGATTTTTTCCTTGTGGCTGCCAAGCCTGTCTCCCCTCGTGTTTTCTACTTGGCATCAAGCAGATTTTCCACGCAACAGCTACTGGTGGGCATTCCCTGGAACCAAAGCAGTAGGAGTATAGGGCAGAGGTATAGCAACTTGGCTGCCAGCAGAGGAACCAGTGCCTCCGGCCCCTGAAGAGCCCACAACCCCTGCTGGGTGGTGAGAATCCGTGTCTCCAACAGACAGACCTCTGTGCTGCCAAGCCACTCTCCAGGATCTGAGCGTCCGTTTGTTAACCAAAGCATATAAAAGACAGATCAAACATTCTTCCATATCATTATAAGCCCTGTGCAAACACCGCCCCATGGACAACAGCCTTCCCCCAGCTCAAAACAAGGCGCCGCTTGTCCTGACTGCTCATCTCTAGCTGTTGGAGCAGGGCAGTGCTGAGAATGGTGGAACATGCTGTCATAGAATAAATTGTGCAGGTGTTGTGGGCCAAACTTCACCCCACAGAGGCTGAATATCCGTTGGAAGGCTCCAGCCAACACCACATTGAGTAGGCTCAGAGCTATGAAGTGACCTGACAAGAAAGTTGCACTTGACCACAAAAAAGCCAAATGATTATTTCCTGTGTTTGTCTTCGTACCTGGAATTAACTCACCACAAATGCCAAGATCAGGACTTGGCTCGACCTACGTGCAAGGCCACCCAAAAACAGGCCTGAGCATGTTGGGGTCAAATATTCCCCTTCTTACTCCCTTGGAGAACCCCAGCACCATACTGCAGCCTCCAGATGCTAACTGGGGCTTGGTGTCTTCACCCAATTGTATTTTAATCAGCTCCAATCTAGGCCCATGTGCTTTTTCTGACTCCTTGAATTCACTAGCGGCTGTGTGTTCAACCTTCTCAAGCGCTGCTGCCCTGACGATAACCACACAAATTTAGCTGCTGACACCTGCCACATGGCAAGCCTTGAGTCATGATGCACTGTAAGGATAAGATTCGCTTTGGATTGGTAAAAATACACCACTGAAAAATGGAAAATATCTTAATAATTCTCCTATCTTAACTATGTGTTGGGAATATCTCAGATATATCATGTTAAATAGCATATTACTAGAATTAATTTCTGCTCCCTTCTGTTGATGGAGCTGTGTGGGAAATTAAAAATCAACCTCATAGCACTGGCTTAGTGCTAGATGGAAGTTTAGGTTTGTAGCGCCATCTGCTGGCCCAACTAAAGCCAATGTAAATGTGAGCAAAGATAAGCAGGAGCAGCTGGGAAACACTTGGTCTCTTAGCCTAACAATGCATTATTTTTCTTTCCCAAGAGCTTCTGAAGCAGGACCAGAATGGACCCTGGAAGCCCCTAAACCATCAGCAAGAGCCTTAGAAAGAATAGTGACAAACTGTGAGAACATGAAGACCTCATGGGTGCCAGCAGTAACCGGGTCTGCATCTTCTCATGGGAAGGATGCAGTGGTTGCTATTGTCAGTAGTTTAGGCAGGCTGTCATAGGATTGTGGCCAACAACAGAGGGAGGACACACACGCCCATCTCTCCAGGGAGGGTGTCCTTTTCAAAAGATCATGCTTACTTGCTTTGATTTGTCAGCTGTTTGAAAGTAGGACTCTTGCCAGTCAAGTGCCTGTGTTTGTTAGCCAAAGTGGCATAAGTCAGCCCCCAAGACTTCACAGCTTGAAACAACAGTGCCCATGGTCAGCTCACAGTTTGTGAGGGGCCACCATCGGAGCCATCTTGGCTCAGGATCTCCCCCAATGTGGGAGTCATGCCTCCACCAGGGCTGCGGTATTCTGAAGGCTTGACTTGAGCTGGAGGAGCCCTCTCCATTGGGCCTCACCACCGGGTTGCCTGCAGTCCTTAAGGCGTGGCACCTGGGGTCCTCTGGAACATGCAGTCCAAACTGCCTCCTGTGAAGCCACAATGCCTTGTATGCACTAGCGTCCCAAGTGACACCCAGCACTCCCTCTGCATTCGAATGGTTCAGAGACAGGAGCAGGCATGCTACCTCTTCCAAATAAGAAATTCAGTGTTATGTTGTAAAGGAAAATATGCAGTGGCAGCAGGTGTCATGCATAGTAGGTTAAGCTTCTGCCTGCACATCCCATATGGATCCCAGTTTCAGTCCTGGCTGTTCTACTTCCAACTCAGGCTCCCTGCTAATGGCCTGGGAAAGCAGTGGAGCGTGACTTAAGTGTTTGGGCTTCTGTGGCCATGTGGTAAACCAAAAAGAATCTCCTGGCTTCAGGTGGACCCAGCTGTAGCCATTTGGAGAGTGAACCAGTAGATGAAAAATCCTGGTGTCTCTTCTTCTCTCCATAAATCTGACCTGCCTTTCCAATAAAAACATAAATTAATTTTTAAAAAGAAAGATGCCATGGAATGTGTGAAAAGGTGCCTACTACTTGTCTAGCATCATACAGCTAAAACATATGCCCACTTTGCACATGTACAAATCAAAACTCAGGGGAAGGAATTTGTCTGGGGCCTCCGGTGGGCAAGGGCTAAGGCCCAGGCTCCTCTGGACGCCCCTCCTGGGTAGGTTGAGCCTCTTCAAGTGATTTCTGTTCATCTCCCTGATGCCGTCAGCACTGAGAATAATGCTGATTGCTTCATCTTTCCACATCTCTACGGTGGGTGTGGCTCCGCTCATTCCAGTGCTTTGCCCAAGTGCTTATGGTTTTACTGCCTTGGGCTCTGTGACCTGTGGCTGCAGGTCAACACTAGCAGCATCCTTCTTACAGAGTGAGACAGCAATGAAAAGTGACCCATTTCCCAATATTCTTGCATGTCGTTTGCTTCGAAAAGATACATCATCATTTGTGTGTTCTTGTTATTTTTGATTATCTGATATGGCACATTATTTCTGCTTGAAACAGGCAAGGATGGATGACTGTTGCTTTCGGTTGCTTTTAGCTTTCATTTAACCTGGTCATCCTCCAAGGAGGTTTTACCATTTTTGTCAACAAAATGGTAAGTCCAGCCCAGTGGCCACTGTCACATTCTGTCATTCTTGGCTTTCAGGTCAAACTCCCTTTTCCTGTAGACCAGATCACAGATCTTCCACGGAACGACTTCCAGATGATGATTAAGATGCACAAGCTGACCTCAGAGCAATTAGAGTTCATCCACGACGTCCGAAGGCGCAGCAAGAACCGCATCGCAGCCCAGCGCTGCCGCAAGAGGAAGCTGGACTGCATTCAGAATTTAGAATGTGAAATCCGCAAACTGGTAAGTGGACCCGGATTGTGGGGAGCAGGCAGGTGACCTCAGGTCACAGCCATGTGGGCCGCTGGAGTGGAGGAGGGGAGATCTGTAGGAAAGTGGTGTGTGCATGTGTGCTCCCACGCGAAGTTGTGTGTGCATGCACGCACACTCCTCCACAGAGAGGTGACAGTATGGGATCTTCTGCATCTCTCAGCCCTCCACAGGGAGAGTTCTTCTTGATGTCCCTTCAGCATGTGTCTGCTGTCTGCATCTATGATGTCTTCAGGACTGTCTTAGTGAGTGATCACACTCAGTCCTCACGTTAGCTCTGTGACTCAGTGGTGCTTTGATCCCCGCCTCCAAAGGAGGGACCCCTGCCATGGAGATGAAGTGACTTTGCAGCATGTACAAGGGTTTGAACGCAACCCCGCCCCCCACCAATCCAGTCCTCAGCCATCGAGGCTGGAGATGGGTTATCAGGAAGGAACTTGAGGAAGTCCATGAAAAATAGAATTAAGATATTAGTTTATTTTGCAAACTCATTTTGCAAAAGAAAAAATGCAAAGATGCACATGTAGTTTTTCCCGTAATACTCAGATCCAGGAACTCACTGAAGGCGCCTCGAGCAGCCCACCTGCCCCTGCGGGTCCCAGCATCCTCAGGCTTGCAGTCCAGCATCAGAGCGGCTGCCGCCCTTTCATTGTGCCTCACAGTGCTGGATCTCAGTGCCTGTTCCCGGAGAAGCAGCCCTGAGCCATGGCAAGTAGATCCAAGCTGTCTGGCTCCTGGCAGGAGCTGGAAGGCACTGAACTTGAACTCAAGCAGCCTGTCCTTCCTGTGTCTGCACCCTGGGAACTCAGCCCGGGTGTGAGCCAGGCGGAAACACAGTGAGTCCATGCATGCTGCTAAACTGTGCTGGGGTCCTCATACTGCTGCCAGCAAACCCTTTGCCAAGCGAGAATCTAACAGCAAGGGCGAGGCGCTGGAAAAGCCTGGGGACATGTTCTATGTTCCCAAGATAGTGCTGGACTTCAAGATATTTTTTTTTCCTGAAGTTTTATTGATTTTATCTATTTGGAAAAATGGGGGGAAAGCACAGAGGAATTTAGGGCTTCATTCCTCAACTGCCACAGGCAGGAGTCAGGAATTCCACGTGAGCCTCTCACATGGGTGGCAGCGTCCCGGATCCGTGGGCCATCAGGTGCCTCCCACGCCTCCCAGCGTGCACACCAGCAGGAGGCTGGGACTGCATAGAGAGGCGGGATTGTGTCCCAGGCCTCTGACACTGACTTTTTGTGATCAACATCCACAAGATAGAGAGTCTGCCACATCCCAGGAGCACCTTCACCCACCAAGTAAAACCTGCACTCCTTAGTAAGGCCTCTGTCCTACGTGACCCAGTCCATAGCTGCCCCTCCAGCATCACCTGCCATTTCCTTCCCAACAAGACCTGACCCCTCATGCAGTGAAACTGGCTGCAGCTCCCCCACATCTGCTGTTCTGTGTGACTCTGCCACTTGCCCACTCTGTTTCCCCTCTTCTTTGGGCATTCCTCTACTTTTTCCTTCTCTAACCAGTTCCTTTGTGCCTTAAGGATCAGCTCAGCTGATGGGTTTGACATTATAGTATAGCAAGTTAAGCCTTTGCCTCCAACACAGGCATCCCCCATGGCCAATGGTTCTAGATCAAGCTACTACACTTCTTTTTTTTTTTTTTTTTACAGATTTATTTTTATTATTTTTTCATTGGAAAGGCGGATATACAGAGAGGAGAGACAGAGAGGAAGATCTTCCGTCCGATGATTCACTCCCCAAGTGAGCCGCAACGGGCCGATACTATGCCGGTCCGAAGCCAGGAGCCTCTTCCGGGTCTCCCACGCGGGTGCAGGGTCCCAAAGCTTTGGGCCGTCCTTGGCTGCCTTCCCAGGCCACAGGCAGGGAGCTGGAAGGGAAGCGGGGCTGCCGGGATTAGAACCGGCGCCCATATGGGATCCCGGGCGTGCAAGGCGAGGACCTTTAACCACTTGCGCCACCGCGCCGGGCCCAGGCTACTACACTTCTAATCCAGCTTCCTGATTATGGTCTGGGAAAGCAGCAGAGGTGGTTCAGAGCCTGCACTCTGTGGGCCCCTGCACTCACATAGGAGGGCTTCTGGTTTTGGACTGGCCCCAGGTCTTTGAAGCCATGTGAGGAGTGAACCACCAGATGGAAAATTTCTCTTTCTATTATCTCCTTCTCTCGTAGTGCTGACCTCCAAGTAAATAAATCTTAGAGAGAGAGAAAGGCCAGCACAGTGGCTCAACAGGCTAATCCACCACCTACAAATGCCAGCATCTGATATGGGTACCAGTAACTATCACAACCACTCTACTTCCTATCCAGCTCCCTGCTTGTGGCCTGAGAAAGCAGCAGAGAATGGCTCAAAGTCTTAGGAGCCTATACCCACGCGGGAGACCTGGAAGAAGCTCCTCTTTCTGGCCTTGGATCAGCTCAACTCCAAACATAGTAGCGGTTTGGGGAGTGAACCAACAAATGAAAAATCTTTCTCTCTATAACTCTATATCTCTCCTTCCCTCTGTGGATCTGATTTTCAAATAAAAATAAAATAAATCTGTAAAGAGAGAGAATCAACTCAAGCATCACAGCTTCAGGAAATCAGCCATGCCTTAATCCCTTGCTGGCTTGGGCCAGCGGCCTCGGGACCCTGTCTCACCTTTGGCTGAGGGCTCACCCGTTAGTCTGGGATGTGTGTGTCTGTCTCCCCATCCCACAGCCGAGAGGATGGCTTCCTCTAGGAAGGACAGTGTCTGAACGTTGTCCTCTTGTTGGCTCTTGGACAATCCTGTTGTCCTAAAATTTGCTGAAACTTGTGGCCTTTCAAGTTGAGGGAATATGAGGGGTTTTTTGGTTGGGTTTTTTCTTCCGGTACTTGGGGGTTTTGTTGTTTTGTTTTGCTGTCACCGTAACCACACTCTGCTGTAACTTACGCTGTGAAGGAATCACAGGGCTGCTGCTGTAGAAGATGGCCCTTCTGGGTGAGAGCGTGCAGGCTCAGTGACCCAGATCTGCAGCCGCTCATGCCTACAGCCCTCTCCTAGGCATAGAATAATGCTAATCACGTCTATTTCAGACATGCCTGGCATGGGCAATCACATGCTGAGTAATTCTCAGGACTTTTGTTATTACTAAATAAGCCAGAGGCTATTTCAAGAATATCATGGAAAATGGAATTTGAGGATAAGTTGATTTTGATGCAAAAAAAAATTTGCAACTCTATACTTAGTTTTTTCATAATACACATTCCCACAAAAAATTTTTTTATGTATAGTGTGGTTCATTAAAGAATATTTATTTTCTTTTTATTTGAAAGACAGTTACAGAGTAAAGGAGAGACACAGAGAGAAGATAATCTTCTACCTGCTGGTTCAACCCCAAATTGCCACAAAGATCAGAGCTGAACATATCCAAACCTGGGAGCCAGGAACTTCTGTGTCTCCCCCATGGGTGCCAGGTGCCTAAGCACTTGAGCCATCTTTTGCTGCTTTCCCAGGCCGTTAGCAGGAAACTGGATCAGAAGTAGAGCAGCCAGGCCTGGCATGATAGCCTAGTGGCTAAATCCTCACCTTGCATGCCCAGATCCCATATGGGCACCATTTCGTGTTCTAGCTGCTTCATTTCCCATCCAGATCCCTGCTTGTGGTCTGGGAAAGCAGTAGAGAATAGTCCAAAGCCTTGGGACCCTGCACCCTTGTGGGAGACCTAGAAGAAGCTCCTGGCTGTTGGCTTCAGTTTGGTTTGACTCCAGTCATTGCAGCCACTTTGGGAATGAACCAGCAGATGGAAAATCTTTCTCTCCTTATCTCCTTTTCTCTGTATATCTGTCTCTATAAGAAAAATAAACAAATATTAAAAAGCAAAAGGAAGCAGTAGTAGTACTGTAGCCAGTACATGAACTGGTACCCATAAGGAATACTGGCTTCACCGGCAGAGGCTTAGCCTACTATGCACATGGTGCTAGCCCCATTCCACTAAGTTGTGAAGCTCTCTCATGACCAAATCTGGCACTAACATTATGGTTCATTGAGTTAAGCTTTTATCTGCAACATCATCATCCCATATCAGAGTGCCAGTTTGAGTCCTAGCTGCCCCGTTTCTAATCCAGCTTCCTCCTAATGCACCTGTGAAGGCAGCAGAGGATTGCCCAAGTACCTGGGCCCCTGTCATCATCCATACAGGAGACCTGGAAGGAGTTCTGGCCTTGGCCTGGCCCAATGCCAGCCATCATGACCATTTGGGGAGTGAACCAGTAATGGAAGATCTCTTGCCCTCGCTCTATCTCCCTTCATCTCTCTAAGCCCACACACCAGGCATATATATAAAGCATCTTAGTGGAATTGCCTAGTTGATAAATCAAGAGGACATCTTACGATTTTCCATCCACTTTTGGCAGCCCCTTAAGTATCATGTTGCATTTCAATGCAGAGTGGAAATTCACATTGAACATCTCTCACTTAGAGCTTGGTGCTTCTAACTAGGGCATGCTTCATGCCAGGCCAAAAGCCTATCACACGTGGGCACCTTGGCCAAGACCACTCTCCTGGTGCCCACTTTGCAGATTGCCAGGTTTCCAGGAGAGAAGTCGGGGTGGGGGATGGGTTATGTCACATGTCACGTGATTTCTCCCAGATGTGTGACCTCTCAGCCCCGCTGCACCCTGCCTGGCTGCTGCCAGCTACCCTGCTGTGCCTACCCATCTGAACTGAGGAGCAGGGATGGGGTGGATGGGAGGAACAAGTTCCCCTCCTCCCCTAGTCCCATCCACAACAGCTCAGCAGGCCCACTGCCACACCGTCTCCCATATACCCAAAACTTGGCTTTTTGCAAAATTGCACAAGCATCTTAGACGGTGGATTAATTTATTGTGCCACAGTGCAAGGTCCCAAACACATGTTTGTGAGTCCCTACATCCTGACCTAGTTCTTCACTGACATTTGTTTTTAACATGTATTTATTTTTATTGGAAAGGCAGATTCACAGAGAGAAGGAGAGAGAGATCTTCCATCTGCTGGCTTACTCCCAAAAAGGCCACAATGGCCAGAGATAAGCTGATCCAAAGTCAGGAGTCAGGAGCTTCTTCTGTGTCTCCCATGTGGGTGCAGGGTCCCAAGGCTTTAGGCCATCCTCCACTGCTTTCCCAGGCTATAAGCAGGGAACTATGTCAAAAGTACAGCAGCCAGTACATGAATCAGGACCCAAATGGGATGCCAGTGCTTTCAGGTAGCTTAACCTGTTGAGCCACCATGCTGGTCCCCATGATGAACATTCTAAACACAGATTATGGAGCTGGCATAGTGGCACAGCACATAAAGCCACTATCTACAAGTGCAGCATCCCGTATGGATACCAGTTCATGTCCTGGCAGCTCCACTTCCCATCCAGCTCCCTGCCAGTGGCCTGGGAGAAGCAGCAGAAGATGGTCGAGTATTTGCGCCCCTGCCACCCGCATGCAGTACTGGGATGAAGTTCCCAGCTCCTGCCTGACCCCAGCCCCAGCCACTCACTGCAGCCAGCGGGGGAGTGTACCAGTATATAGAAGATCTCCCTTGCTCTCCCTCTTTTCTCTATAGCTCTTTCAGGTAAATAAGTAAATTTTTTAATAAAGGTTGGAAACACCCTGAGAATTGAGATGCATGCAGTGTGCACCCCAGGCTTAACAAAGCCTTCTTTTTTGTTCCCAATTCTGCAGGTGTGTGAGAAGGAGAAGCTGTTGTCAGAGAGGAATCAGCTGAAAGCATGCATGGGGGAACTGCTGGACAACTTTTCCTGCCTCTCCCAGGAAGTGTGCCGAGACATCCAGAGCCCCGAGCAGATCCAGGCCCTGCACCGGTACTGCCCCGTGCTCAGGCCGGTGGATCTGCCCGCAGCCTCCAGTGTCAGCCCCGCGCCCCTGGCTGTGGTGGAGCAGAGCCTCGCTGCCTCCCAGTGTGCCGTGGGGGAGAGCGCACCACCGCCCTGCTGCTTGGAACCCGGGCCGGCTCCGCCGGGGCCTTCCTGGGGTCCCAGCGCCCCCTCTGAGAACTGTACAGCCAGGGGGAGACTGGAGGCTGCCGACCCGGGAGCCTTCTCCGAGAGAGGCCCTCCCCTGGAACCTAGAAGCCAAACAGTGACCGTGGACTTCTGCCAGGAAATGACCGACAAATGTACAACGGACGAACAGCCCAGGAAGGATTACGCCTCGTGACTCGTGACTCGGCGGCTCCCAGTCCTCAGGGCGGCGGGGGGCCTGCCCCGCAGAGGGGCCTGCCCACTCATCGGTGGGCTGGAGGAGCCGAGAAGGAATTCGGTGCACACTACAGCAGCCTCAGCAGCAATACCGTTCCGAAGTATTCCCTCCTGCTTGCTGGTGGGAGCGACAGCTAGTTACCTGATTCACTATGGTGCTACCCCTTGCCTAGACCAGGAAGGCGACAGTGCCACCACTGTCTGTCTAAGGGTTCATTTCAGTCTTCACAGGGATAAACTCTTAACACCTCTAGGACCCACCCACGGATTTTTTTCTCAGTGGCCCATGTCACAAATCCGATCTCAGGAATTTCTTCTGAATGTTCAATTTTTTTCATTGAAGACAGCTTCTATACACATCAAAGTTTTATAGCTAGACTGTACATATTATATATAATATATATAAAATATATATATCTCCATATGCAAAGGTCCTGCATGCCTCAGTTTTCTCATCCAGAAACTGGGAATTTCCCTTCTCATTTATACACCAGTTCCAACATTCCTCTTGTTTTTGTCTCTGATGCTAGACCTCATTTGGTAGCTGTTGACATGGTCATTTTTTTCCCTTTGCTTCGTGATTCCATTTGTACTTATTTATGGATGAAATTCAATGTTAGAAGCTTTTTTCAAAGTTTTATTTCAGGCTTTTTTTTTTTTCGTTTTATTTTGTTTAGGCACCACCAAAGGGTGTCATTCGAGCATTGTGGGTTTGTTTTTTTGGATTTTTTTTTTCCTCAGATACTGTACAGTAATGGTCCACTTTGCCACTTGCACTGAGTTTTGGGTCAAACCTATTTTTCTGAAATGAAGTTGTAACTTCGGTATAACTCAAGTATACTGTATATTCTTTGCTTTTTAGTTAAAAGGTAAAACATTTTAGCTAATGAAAAAGCACTCAGGTGATAATTATGTAGGAAAAAAACTTGCCAAATAACAAATCCATCCTCGGATGTGTAAGACAATAACCTGCTTGAATATTTTTATATTTCACCTCCTCCCCACCTAGCCCTAAGTCAAGTTTAAACACAGTTGGAGAGTTCACACTGGATAGTGGTGTTCAGATTTCTAATTGGGGGCAGTTTGGACATCTCTCTCCAGGGTACATCAGAACAGCAGCGTCCATGATTCTCTACCAGAACTCAGTAGCTACTGGCTCCTGGAAACCAAGTCAGAACAACTTCCCACTTGGGGAGTGGGACCCCTTTCTCTTGGAAGTGTTGGACAGTGGGCCAGCCCCTCTCCCACCCAGGCCAGCCCCTCCCAGGACATCTCACCCAATCCCACCCCGTGGGGCCTGCCCTTAAAGAGGCAGCCCGCGGGGTGAATGCAGCTCTCCCTGGGGAAGGAGAGAAGGAGGGGTGGCCTGAGGCCTGAGCCCCATGCCTGAGGCAGGTCAGTGCATTTCTTTCTCCTTTCCTTTCAGTTCTGTTCTGAGGCTTCTCCGCAGCTCTCTTGTCTAAAGCCAGCTTTGGGCTGAGGCTTTGCACAAGAGAGATCACCAGGAGCCCTCTTCCCCAAACAGCACACCACCACCACCCCCATCCTCACCTGACGATCATTTTCTTCTCTTGCTGCAAAAAAACAGGTTGGCTTGCAACCCGAAAGAGCAGCTTCCCTTGGCTCTGGGGTGGATGGGGAAGGGCTGGGCTCTGGGCCACGTTTACAGGAAAGTGTGCCCCCCACAAGGAGGAGGCAGCGGCTCCCTCCCTCCAGTGGTCCCATCTTGCTGTGCAGCCCAAGGGCCGCTCCAGCCTGGCTGTGGAAGACAGTCCTACAAGGTTTGATGCGGGGTGGGGTGGTGGGCAGTGGGGGTTAGATGGTTGACTTTGTTTCTTTCTTTGTGCCATTGTTTGAACAATAGTAAAGCTGCATGTAAAAGGGGGACATTAGTATACGATTAGTAGGCGAAAAGTGAAATCATAGTAACATGTTTTAGTATTATTAACTCTTTTCTGTACAAATATTAGTGCTAAATGTTTAAATATGTATGAATGCCAGAAATTTGTTGGTTCATGCAATAGGATTTGTTTTTGTTTTTGTTTTTTAACAAAAGGCTTTTCTTTTTAAAAAATAGTTCCACTTGGAAAGCCTGCCTCTGGGTTTTGGTTTGCTCTGCCGTGCGTGCGTGTGTCTGTTTGCGTGCCTGTCTGAGACGGATGGTGATAGAGCTCTGTCTCCTGACAGTCGGCTGGTGGAGTCGCTTGGCCTAGTGGAACGGTTCTGTGCTTCCCAGCAAGGTTTGCCATAGTGAGGAATTGGTGACAGCTGGGACGAAAGCTTCATGTGAAGGCTTGTGTTACAGAGGAGTCAGCGGACGGTGTTGTGTTTATCAACTCTCCTGTTGCCTTTGCGTTTTTAATTAAAGGAATGTTTTCTGCTCAGACCATAACAAGATCTACACTGGCTGGTTGGCTTGGTGTGCCCTGGTCACCACTCATCTGGTCCTCTTGGCTACATCCCATCCTCTCCTCCCAACCCCCCACCCCCTCACACACACATACGCACACCTGCTTCTGCTCAATGACCCAAACCTGTGGCGGCAGCCAATTGTGAGAGGCCCCAGGTCTCTTGACTTCTCTCCAGCTAAGTCAGCCCTTGTCCTCCTCCCAACAACCCCTGTCTCTTTTTCTTTCTCTCTACCCAGCCCCTTGCCATTGGAAACTGGTGAACACATTTCTCTTTCCACTTCTTAGGGATTATTACTAAGGCATTCGTTGGCCACCAGGAACGGTGATTGGCTTTGTGCAGTTGTCTGTGTGACGTGTCTGTGTCTTGGCCGTTCTGAACCATGTGCTTGTCAGAAGTGTTTCTGGGTCATTCAAAGGGAGGACTCACCAGGGACCGGAATCCAAACTTGCCTCAAGTGAAATGGAGAGGCCCAGCCTGTTGTCTTTGCCTGGGGTCCCTTAGTGAACCCCATGCTGTTTCTGAAAAGAGCCTGATTTTCCAGTATGGTGACCCACAGCTGTATTCTCAAAGATTCTTTCCTTGTCATGAACTATTTTGACTGTCCCCAGGAGAGCCTAGGTTGGGTCCCAGCAGCTGGGATGGGGTAGGTACTGGGGCAGAACCAGTGGCATTGACCCTGAGACCAGCAAGCTCCCACCTGAATGTGGTCCCTCCCTTGGATCTGCCTTTGTCCACTAGGTTCAGATTGGGCTGGTTGTGAGCAGCCATGTGCTTCGCTGTGTGTGTTTGCTTTCTCTGCATCATCTGGGGTGCCTTGAATGAAACTGAACTTTGTAACATGCTGATTCTGGAACAAAACAGTTATAAAAATTTGCTTTACAAGCTGCAGATTCCCTAGGCCATCCTGCGACTCCCCTTCTGGGAACCCTATCAGTGACTCAGGCATCAGAGGGATGCTGCCATGGAAAATGATATTATATGTGTCGTGGAAGTAATTTATTAACTCTGTCTCTCTAAGGTATGCTGCTATGAAGATACACTATCATTTTGGATAGAATTCTTATGTTGCTTTTCCAAGAAAGGAAAAAAAAAAGAGCTAGCTAGTGCTTAGTATGCCAACTGCCACTTCTCCTTAAAAAAGGAATTTGGGGACCAGCTAACAGGACTTGCAGGAAAGGGACTGGCTGCAATTAAACTTGCACAAAGTCAAGTTTGTATGGCCCAAAGGCCTAGACACACATCGTCCTTTCTTAAGTCTGGGTTCCCCTTGAAGGGTGAAGGAAAAGAAAAAAAGGTTTGAAAATAAGAAGCCCTTTAAGAAACCTCAAAGTCCTGTCCCAGGAAGCTGCTCTGCCTGCCACAGAGTCGCATAATCCTCCCCAAATGAACATAAAGCTTGCAGAGCCTTCTCAAAGCCCCATTTGGCCACCCCTGTCTGGCTCTACCCCATTCTAAGTAGGAGCTGATTTGCAAACAACTTCTGACTGCTTAACTCTTACCTACAGCTTAGGAAACATCTCAGATCTAACAGGGAGCAAAAGTCAAGTTTTGTCCTCAGATTGCTGTAAATAAACTAAAACACAAGATCTTTTTTGTTTGTTTTATTGTCTTTACAAGAAAGAAGATACATATTGTATCCACATTTCCCCAAATGAAAGATTTCATTGTTTAAATCAAGTTCTAGCAAGTCGGTCTAGCAAGTGGGGTTGGAAGCCATGCAGGACCTTGGTATGCATGGAGGCATTCAGTGCGCAGGACGTATGTTTATAATACTGCCTGAGCCACCTATGACCCAAGCATCAAACACTGATGCTGCAGAGTAGAATATATTGGTCCATAAATAGTATATGCTAGTGGTATTTGTACATAGAGAAACTTATTGTGGCAGATTGAGGTTAAATTAATCAACTGACAGTGCAAAAAAAAATTACTTGCAAAGAAAAGTAAGTGTATAGTATTTTCCTACACTCCATCCTGGGAGATAATATTTATAGCAGATGAATATCAGTGCATTTCCATTGTCATATGAAAATGACACTGCCACTTTGTGAAAAATACCCACATGGTTGCAGAGGCCAGCTTCCCTCACGTTGTGACTTGGTGTTTGTAGTTCGCCCGCAAACAGTGGGAAAACAACCCTTGACTTTCATTCCAGTGTATTGACCTCAGCCATGAAGCGGTGGCCCTTTGTCGAAGCCCAAGTGCACTGAGACCATTCATTTCAGGTAGACCTGCAATCAGTGCCAAACACTCCCAGTGGGCATGCTCGGAGCTGTGCATCAGGAGAGTGGGAAGGGACTCGGACCAAGAAGGGTTTTCCTACAACTGATGCTAAATCCTCCACACAAATGGATGTGGTGGCAGAGTGGTGACCCTCCCCCCCCCCCACCCACTTGAGTGCTAAGGGAGCATTCCACATCCGGCCAAATATCGGCTGCCCCATTGACACTCTTGATGTGGAAGACCTGGCCCATCAGGTGAGTCATCAGGAAAATTGGGAATTCTTTGGGGAGCTTCAGGTGCTTGTTAGACACAGTGAGCCATCGGAGGCAAGTGCCATCTTTTCTGGTGGGGGCCTGTGAGGGTTTGTTCCAGAACCAGTCTGACTCAAGTGCACCTCTTATATATGCCTTACAGACTCCAGAGGCCATACTCAAAACAGGGTCTTCTCAGTGTATGCAAGGGGCCGCAGCCCCTCCTCTCCTCCTCCCCAGGTCGAACAATACGGACAGTTTTCACACATATCTACCTGTATAACCCTCTGTACCTCTCATAACTGGTCAACGACTGTAACAGGTTACATCAGGTGTTTTTCTACATACTTTTTACACAGATTCTATGCGATTAACGTAACTTAATACATCATTTTATTGTACTAGTTCTTAGGCTTGTCCTTTTTTTTCTAAGTGATTGTGGTTTTTCTTGTGGTTTTTATTGTAAAAATGAAATGGCTGTTGATGCTTCTCTGTAAGAATTTTTACATTTGGCGGGGTGGGGGGGAAAGCATTGCTATGAACTAATGAATTGAAACTTCATTTACTCATTGTAAATACACTATTGTGCAAAAAAAAAAACAATTTTCACTCAGTTGAATTGCTAGTGTTAACTGAATTTTGTCTAGACACCATTTCTGTTGATGAAATAAAGACATATCATTATGTATTATAAAGTAAGTCTTTCTACCTCGAGTCCCCACATTTTACAGTCTGAAGTAGGAAGCCTCCGGAAATATTTGTCCCAGAGAGACTGTTTATCTTCCTCTGCCTGCCCCCTGATTGACCTAATTAGAAATCAAAATCTTGATAATACAAATGGAATGCCTACACCCTGGATTTAGCATCCCACCAGTGCATATGGGGGTGGATTAAAGGCATGAAGGGCTGTTACTTGGTTTGGGCTGCAGTCCTGCCACTCTGCAGGGTGGTGCCACGTAAGTACTGCTGTGGGACACCTATGATGGGTGGTGTTTCTTGCAACTACATGTGAATCTATGAGTATATCAAAATAGAGCATGTTAATTTTTAAAGTCCAAGATGCAGTGAACTAATAGGGGAAGAACTTTACAATTGGGGAAGGAGAATAAATAAGGTTAAACCAGGAAAGTGTGTTTGCTGGATTATGGTTTGGTGAAAAAGGAAAATGAGATTCAGTGGTGGGCAGGCCAGGTGACCAGGAGGGATACTAAACTTGAACTCTGCCTTGAGAGAAAAGCCATGAGAACAGTACAGAGAGCAGTGTGACCAAGCTGTCAGCCTGCGGGTAATGAACGTGTGTGGGCTTCCGGAAGTACAGGAGATTGGCTGCACCCATCTGCCAGATGGGAAACTGAACAGCTGCTGACATCTCCCTCGAGTGAGTCTGTATAGGTACTTTGTTTTTAGCTTTTAAAAAGTGTATCTGAAAGGTAGAGAGACGCATACAGAGAGCTTCTGTCCACTGGTTCACTCTCCAGATGCCCACAGTGGCCAGGGCAAGGCCGGGTTAAAGCCAGGAGCTGGAAACTCAAACCACTCCCACGTAGGGAGGGACCAAAGCATCCACATTATCACCCATTGCCTTCCACAGTGTGCTCTAGTAGGAAGCTGTGGGCCAGGACCTGAGTTCAAGACGTGCTGATATGGTGTGGATGTGTTCCAAACTTCATCTTAACTACTGTGCCAGATATCCACCTGTCCACAGGCACTTCCAAGGAACCTTGAGTGAAACTGGCAAGTGCTTGATCTTCTGAAAACTTCATCATCACAGGTAGTTCTTGCTTATTCAGTCCATTCTGGAACAAACAGATGATTCTAAGCCTTATGATTTTCTGTAGAAAAAAATCTGGTCATTTAGAACTCCATGCCATTTACACCTCCAGCCCTGACATTCAACGCTTGTAGCAGCAATGACAACCGTGGTCTAACATAATGACCTACCAACTGCCACATCCTGAACAATGAAACATTGGACCATCATCCAGCCCCAGGCAGGCAGCAGCCCTTGGCGTCCCTGCTCTGACTGTGTGAGTGATCTGTATCTAGTGCCGAAGCACACGATGGGCACTGGCCCCATTCCCACTGGGCCCTGTCAGCAGTTTTGTTGAATGGATTTGGAAATAACTGAACTGTTCTTTGAACTACTCAGTCTTTCCCACTCTACCCCACTTCCCCAACTGGGTTCCTTTGGTAGATGCCAGCTGGTGAGGGTGTCCTCAGTACAGTGGCTTCCTAATTCTCCCCCAGCTGAGCACCTGGGCCCCCTGGTATCCATGGACTTCATAGTTCCTGATGTTTGGGAGACAAGGCACAGTGAGATGACACCACACATTCCTTTAAGTCTTTTCACTTTCACTCAATATGACACCTCCTGTCCCCCAGACCACCCCAGGCTCTGGAAGAGCCTATTACACCTGCCACTGGCTTGAGTGATCAGCCAGAAAGGCATTTTTGGGTCTCTGGGGCACAGACCCTCATTCAAAAGCAATGGGAGGAAACCTTCCGACACCGCTACTAGCAGTACTGCCAGCATCACGACTGAGCCCAGGCCCTTTGTGCTTTTCCTTTATCCTTCATTTGTGCTATGGGGTTGACAACCTTCTAAAAGCTTTTCAGGGTGAAGGAAATTTAAATTACAAAAAGAGAGGAGAAGGACCAGCACCATGGCCTAGTAAGCTAAGTCTCCAATTGCAGCATCCGTTTGAGTCCTGGAAGCTCCACTTCCTATCCAGCTCCAAGCTGCCTGATGATAACCTGGCAACTCCTTGGGCCCCTGCACCCATGTGGAAAACTGGGAAGAAGCTGCAAGCTCCTGGCTTCAAGCCGGCCTAGCTCTAGGCATTGTAGCCATTTGGAGAATAAATCACCAGATGAAAGATCTCTCTGTCTCTCCTCCTTTCTCTGTAACTCTGCCTTTCAAATACAAATAAATATTTAAAAAGACAGGGCGGAAATGCCTCCAAAAGAGTCTCATAATAAGCCTGTTGGCGAGATACAATGTAAGAATGAATAAGAAACAGAGATTCAAGAGTTGGAAGTGACAGCCCAGCTGTTGTCTTTGGCATCTATACATAAACATATATTCATTCAACCAACACTGTGAGGAAGTCTAGGTATCCAGGGCTCGACATGCATGGGCCTTAGCTTTCCACCCTTTCCATGGAGGGGTGGGAAGATGCCAGGGGAATCATTGCCAAGAAGCTACTGGCTTTCTTTTTCTAACTGCATTTATTTATTATTTTCCACAATATACTTTTATCAAAATAGGGGTCCATCCTGTCCCCTTCCTTTCCTCCCTTCCATAATCTTCTCCCACTATTTGTCCTCAAGTTATGACAAAAGCGCGTTCAGTTTACCATTATAGATATCTCATGAGCTGGTAAGCATAGGAAAAGGTAGAAAACAGCATCGTGCTGAAAGGGTGCATTTGCAAGTATCAATGGAAATGCCACTGTTAATCAGTAGAGATGGCTGCTGTATTCATCCGTTTCTTTACAGCATGTTCATCTTCCTTGTACAATTCACATGTATTAGTAGCCATATATCAGTGACATTGTGTATTAGTTGTCACATATCAGAGAGAACATACGACTTTTGTCCTTTGGGGATTGGCTTATTTCACTAAGTCTAAAGGCTTGCTGACTATTAACGATGAGGAGAAGGGCTTCCACGCTGCTACCTGTGGACTTGGAGTTCAGAAAGGGCTTGAACTGTGTGACCTTTGTGGAGAGAAATTACCCTTTTGAGCCTAGCTATCCATAAAAGGGATAAACAGTAACAACTTTACATAATGATACGCAGGGATTGGGTGCCTATTTTTCTGCCAAGGGTCATTTGCATATTCACTAGCCATAGAAAATGTTCAACTTAAAACCCAGCCTACTTTAGATTTATTGAATTTTGAGTCCTGCCACTGGTTACTTTGGCAGAGCCAGAAACAAATTATCTCATAGACCTTGAATGTCCTGTGCACTGAGCATTCCCTCCCCCCGAAATATGCTGTGAGCACTGGGAACATGGTGTGCCTCTTGAAGGCACCGGTATGGGTATGGGCCAGTGTTCCTGTCATCCACTAGTCTATACTAACCCTTCTATAAACGTGCTGTGAAAGAGTATGTTGTTTTTACATCATTCCTGACAAATATAGGTACCAAGGAGACCCAGAAACAATTCAGGCAAGAAGCACAAAGCAGCCACAGCCAGTGCTAAGCTCTCTTCTGCAAACCCCAGCTCCCTGTGATAGGCAGCCGATTTCTAATGGTTAGAGTGCATCCGAGAAATAAGGTACATCTACAAAAAAATGAAGCATCTACTGCATGCCTCTTTTGATGAATATATATATATATATATATATATATTATATATACACACACACACACACCTCCTCGAAACTGTATCACTGTAAGGCTGATTCAGAAAAAGCCATGATAGATATTAGGTAGACTGCCTGCACAGGAAATTAGTTCCCGAAAGGCAGGCATGGGGTGGTGGAGGTTGTCCAGCAGCCCACTGACAAGAAACAATGGAGACCTGTAAGAATTTGTGACCATGCATGAGGTAGAAATGAGGTCCGAGGTAAGTGCCAACAAGTGAATTTCCTCTGCAGTTTACCTCACAGGACATCCATGATGCAGTACCTTGTGACTTTGTACCAAAACGGATCTCATCACAAAGTGCTTTTTACAAGGTGCATAATCAAGATTGGGAAGTCTGGCCATAGGATGAAGGAGCTAAGTGGTGCTAACCATGAGAATTGAGCCCTTCCCTTATGGCTCTCCAAACTTAGACAAGTAACACATGGTTCCACAGGTCCGCTCATTGATGTACATACTTTAGCTGCCCAGTCTCTGCTCCAGGAAGTTCTGAATGCTTTTGAGGCACCTGTCCTGGATGACTCAAGACCAGTTAAAGGGCAGGGAGGTCCAGGAAGAGGAGCTGGTACTTGGCAATCCCCAGGAAACACCTCTTGGACCATAACAGGCATCACCAATACCGTGAATTATCCTAGCAGAAGGTAAAATCATACAGAGGAACGAGCATTAGACATGTAGGTAGGACTACGCATGGGACTCCCACATCAGACTGCCTGTTTCAGGTTCTGGCTCCTGTGCTAATGATCCAGCTTCCTGGGAGCCAAAGCGGGATGGCTCAAGTACTTGGGGCCCTGTCACCTACATAGAAGACCCAAATTAAGTTCTGGGCTCCTGTTTCTGGTATGGCACAGCTCTGGCTGCTAAGGGTATTTGTAGAGAGAAACTACAAGTGGAAGGTGTGTCTGTCTGTGCAAACCCCTCCTCTCCTCTCCTCTCTGTCAACAGGAAATACATTTGAACTGAGGCTGAGCACAAAACTCTAGGCCTATTCTAGACTCACATTCAAAGAACCCACTGCTACTGCTACTACTGCTGCTACTGCAGGGCTGGGGTGCTTTCAAGGCCAAATGTGCTACCAGGCTGCTGGGGAAGGAGGCCATGTCCCAATTCCCTTCTTCAGGGCAATAGCTGCCCATGCCATAGATTTTCTCTGTTGGTGCGCAGCTGCCCCCAACAGTACGACCAGGGAGGGTTGTGAGAGACTGGCCCTGGCGCTGCAAGGAGAGGGTTTTCTGGGGAGGTGAGCCCAGGTTGGAGCATCCTGCACAAAGCTCTTTGGCTGCTGGTGGTCTGTGGACGACATTGGCTCTGTCGTCCTG